CAGCAGGGGTGGGATTCAAACTTTTTAACAACTGGTTCTGTGGGCGTGGCTTAGTTGGTGGGTGTGGCTTGGTGGTCATGTGACTGGGTGGATGTGGCTTGGTGGTCATGTTATTGGCTGGGCATGGCCAACTCAACATCACTCACATCGAGGCATGCATCTCCTCGCCTGGCCTCTCATGACTGTAGGGATGCTGCAACAGTCGTAAGTGTGAAAAATGGTCATAAGTCACTTTTTTCAGTGCCATTGTAACTTTGAATGGTCACTCCACACAAGCAAAGTACCAGCAAAGGAGGGGGAAAAAACTCCAGAGAAGTTCCTGAGACAGGAAGTCTAGTCCTGCCAAGAATGTAATAAGGTTAATGGAGAGACAGTTTCTGTAAGCAACACCAGAATGTTTCCTTCCTGCCTTCCTTACAGGATTTAGGCCAGTAATTTCTTCTAACAACCGGTTCTCCGAACTGCTTAGAATGTTAACAAGTGGTCCTAGTGAATAGGTGCGAACTGGTAGAATCCCACCCCTGGGTTACAGTCGAACATTTCTCAAGGACACCATGTCCTCTAGACATGGACTAGAAGAGCAATCGGCTTCTTGTTTAGGCAGTGCTTGACTGATGGTGAAAACTTGCACTTTTTACATAATGAGAGAGCTGTTATTTGTTATGCTTTCCTCTTACAATGAATGCTGAGTCTGTTCTGCTTCATTTGTTAGCATATGCTCAGGGGTGGAATGTTTTTTCAGCAGTCTATCTTAAAAATGCTTCCTGCACAGAACATGAATAGTTCTTTTCCCCATCATTCTGTTTGAACTGTTACCTTCCTTCACTCCTATGCTTTATTTTGCTACCAACGTGAAGACAATAGCAACTTAACTAAAAAAGTAAAGGTTTTAGAGATCTCATAGGACTCCAAAGGCAGAGTTGGAATCTCCTTAAAAGAGAGAAAGCTACTCTATTGCCACACTGCTCCCTGGTGGCAGATGGAACTTTCTAAAGAGCAGGAAAAAAATAGTTATAAGATGGGTGGCCGTATAAACGTTTTAAATAAAGAAAAAATACATATTTGTGCATTAAAAGAATGCACTAAATTAGCATTCTCTAGCCCTCAACAGACAAAATGCACAGTGTTTCACAATACTTCATTTCGCTGATTTTTCTAACGAAGGGCATTTCTAAAAAATAGGAAATCGGTCACTGTTCCCTAAAGTGGAGGTATCCATTACATCAGGGGTCCCCAACTCCCCTGTCTGTGGACTGGCACCAGGCGCAGCATGCCAGAAACTGGCCCGTGCAAACAAGTGAAACGCCATCCACAGGATGCAGGCACCATGTGAAACCATGCCCCCTCTGCACCACAGAAAAACCAGGCCATGGCGCCCAAAAGGTTGAAACAATTTGTATCTTATCATATACTGAGAACAGATGGCTAGAGTGTGGCTAGCTTATTGTAGTTTAATTTAATAATGAATATTTAGTGTAGTGATTTAGTGTAGTTTTCTTTTAGACAATATCCAGTTTTGGAAGTTAACACTAAGTACAGAAAATGATTTAGGTTCCATTGCTAAAATTGGCATATTATACAAACAATGCTATTTAGTTTCCTGAACTTTGGTTGTGGAAATAACCTATAATCTCATCTGCCATCATCAGGCTTCTGTATTGTGTTCGTCTGTGAGTCAGACTTTTACAGTTGCTTCAGTTTTAAATTTGGGGCTAGCCTACTGCTGTGCCAGAATGGTTTTTTCTTCATCCTGATTGGTTGGGAGTCTTGGTCTGTGTTAATTGGTCTTGGAGTTTGCTGTGTTCTGCTTGATTGGTGTTTCTAATATTTTCTGTCTGTTTTGTGGCTTTTTTTGTCTTGATTGGCTGGCAACATTGTGTTCCTGTATTGGAGGCTTTTAGTGCAGCTTGGCTCCAAGTAAATGGACGTCTATCATTTGTTAGGAAGCTAGGTTTCATCTGGGTGCCTGGTTGGGGTGTGTTTGAGCTGGAGGTATCAGCGGGGATCTGTTTGTGCCCAGGTGTTTGCCTGGCTTGTGGTGTGGAGATTTTTTTGTTTGTGAGTGCAGGCTTCCAAGTAATTGACAGTCTGGTGGAATCATCTCTTCTATTCATGCTTTCAGGTCTTTTTTCAATCTCTATGGCTTCTCTGATAATTCTGTGGCTGGGGTTTTCTATAGTGGCGAGGGTTTTGGTGCCATTGAAGTCGATGCTATGACCTGTGGCTTTCCTGTGTTGGACTAGTGAGGAAGTGTGTTCCAGCTTTTTTACTGCATTTTTGTGTTCATCCAGGTGGGTACTTATTCTTCTATTGGTCTGTCCAATGTATGTGGCAGGGCATGATGCACAGGGGACTTCCTATATGCCTTGGTTTTCCAGGTCAATTTTATCTTTGGGGTTTCTTAGGACGGCTGCTATTTTTCTGTCTATTTTGAAGGCAGTCTTGATGTGATGCCTGTATAGTATCTTACTGATTTTGTCTGTAGTACCTCTTATGTAGGGCAGGACAGCTGTTCCATAGGTCTGTTCATCTTCTAGGTCTCTATTATGTCTCAAGCCAGTGATTTTGCTTTTGTGGAAGACGTTAGCTGTCAGTACTTTAGTCAGGGTGCATAGTTCAGTCTTTATGTGTGTCTTGTCTGCCAGGCGTTTGGTTCTGGAGATTAGTGTTTTGGCCACAGAGTTTATCTGTGCTGGGTGGTGGTGGGATTGGGTGTTGAAGTAGATATTAATTACTAAATATATGCTACACAAGGAATATCCTTCTGGTTTAGGTTGCTGGAATTATTTCAACATCTTAAAGATCTAAATTCTCCAACCCTGGCCCAGGATGGAAGTACTGGTAGTCCTCAACTTACAACAGTTCATTTAGTGACTGTTCAAAGTTACAACACTAAAAAAAGTGACTTATCACCATTTTTCACATGACCATCCCCACGGTCATGTGATCAAAATTCAGACCGTTGGCAACTGACTCATATTGATGACAGCTCCAATGTCCCTTAACAACCGTGATGATTCACTTACGAACTGTGTCAAGAAAGGTCGTAAAATGGGGCAAAACTTACTTAATAAATGTCTCACTTAAGAAATTTTGGGTTCAATTGTGATCGTAAATCAAGGACTATCTGTATTTAGCTAGGTATGAATTGTTTTGTACTGCATAATTCTGATTAAGCTGCAATAGGATTATAGAATTAAATATGGTACTGTATATGCTAATCACTGTAGGCCAAATGTACAGCAAATCAGATATGGTTCAAGGAGCACATTTCACATTTACCAACTGGTGCTCTAGAGATGTGCTTGGGTACAGTTCCCATTAGAACTAGTCAGTGTTGTTAATGGTAATGGAATTCTTCTGAGTATGTGAAATAAATTAAGACGTAAAATAATAGGGTGTACTATTGGGTTTTTCTATCTTGGACTGGCCCCAAATCTGGTTTATTACCTGTAAAATATTCAGGAAATATATATTCAAGGTCAACTCATTATTCCTTTGCACTTAAATCAGGAATTTTTTTTCCGCAAAAAGTAACATCTGAAAGGGGGGGAAACTCAGGTTTCCAGCAAAACAAGCATAAAGCACCAATAAGCAAATCCTACAATGATACATATACCTAGAAAGAAGCTTGAATTAACTATTTATTTAGACTAATTTTTATAATAAACCCAATGTGACCTTTCAATGTTGTTATGAGCTATAATAGTTCCAAAATAATTCACTTTTAAATTAAAATATTCTTAAAAACATTTCCAAAGTGACCTTCTCTTCCCAACACAACTTTCTGGAAAGCCAAAGCGAAGTTGTTTTTACTAAGACGATCCAAAGTAGAAAGTGAAGTTCTACACTTTAGAGCTTTAGCATTTTTTTTCAGGTTGAAGAGATTCACCAATTATGCAGTTATTTTATCTAAAAAAAAAAAAAAAATCTACATCTCCCTGAAGCAAGGAACCCAAGTGGAGCTAGGCAAGGATCTCCTTTTAAGGCTCCAGTGTGCCCAGCATTAGTTCCCTGTGTTACTACTAAGGTAAGAAATAATTTGACGTAGGTGGGCAAAATGACTGTCTTCCCCTAAAATAAGTACTTTGTCTATGCAAAGAGATATCTAAATGCACTGACTTGTCAGAAAGGAATCTGTAGGGTAGAAATGCAGGAATATGAATCGCAAGGAATAAAAAATAAGCACACAATAAGTTAATAGAGACAGTATACTGATCTTACAGTTCACATCATAATAGCTACGTAACGTTTCTATCTAAGAACCCACTGAAAATGAACTGCAATTTACTTTAATGTATCAAATCTCTTTTTATAACTTTCAATATCATTGAAGCTCCTCTGGTGGGGCTGCTTAGAAAAATGGAATGGAATAAAACTTTCTGTGCCAAGTTGGTCTAATAAAAAGTGTGGCAAAACAATAGTTCTGATGCAACAAAACATTAAGAGTTGGTGGGAGAAATCAAAGAGCTGAAATGGAAATACTACTTTTGCAGCCAATGCTATTTTCAGCAAGAACCTAATTTTGAGAACTATAACAAGCTAATCTTTCATTTCCCCCTTTATTTTTTTTCTCTGGTGATAATGAAGTATTGATCTGGAGAGAAATTACCTTTTTTAATTAAAAAGATGTTACATAGCATATACAGTATCTACGTGTACTACTATATGTACCACTATATATACTTCAGCCTACTTTACATGTGCTCTTGTTCTACTTTGGAGAAAAGAAATATAGTGAATTAGACCTGCTTTATGCATAAAATCCTCTAAATGTAGGACTTTCTGAAGATCAGAAACTAGGACAAGACAAACTGTCCGTACTCCCAGAATTCTTACTGCTAGCAAAACCCAATCTAGTTTTATTGACAGGTATAAAAAGTCATCGTTTGATGAAGTACAAGATAAGCCTCCAGAGGATTTATGATTAAGGAATAAAGCAGTCCCAACTTATTCCACTGATCAAATCTAAACTCTTTATTGAATGGCTTTTTGGTCACACTAATGCTACCCAATCTAGGAAGAGAAGGAAAGAGAACCCTCTTGCCATTATTTATGGGGTCATTCAATAATGGAATTATAACTATGCCATGAGTTCTCTTTTCCTTGGGTCATTTTTCTTACATGAGCAATGCCAAATAAACTATTGTGAATGGGCAGATGAGACTGACAGTGTGACATGGTTTTACACATTATTATACTCATAATGTGATTTATTTGACTTTTGCATAGTATATTATGTGAACCCAGTTTAAGGTCCACATTAATCTTTGTGAGCTGTGGTACATTTAGAACTTTGAGAAGAGTTTATAGGTGTTCCCACAAATGGTTGAAATGGTAGACACAGGCAGTCCTCTAACAGAAGGTTAAGTGGCAAGATTGTGTCCCATTATTATAAAAACCTACACAGTGGTGCTTTGCATCACTTTACTTCTCGTTTTGTTTTTAATTCAAAGGATATTGAAAGAAAATAAAATCAGGGCTAACATGCAACATGAGGTTGCTAAGTATGTTGACCCCATCAATATCAGTCTTAATTTGTGGCTTAATTAATAACATGAATCCAGCCAATTATTCAGCAAATCATAGTTACATGAAATCTGGCTATGAATGAAGTGGGAACATAGCCAGAGACGCAGATACCTTCATTTACAGCAGGAGTATCAAACTCATGTCATCACGGCAGCATCATGTGATGTATCAGGACTTTTTTCCCCTTCACTAAAGCGGGTGTATATAACACATCTGGCCCGTAGGCCGGGAGTTTGACCTGATTTAGGAGCAGCCCTGATTTAGAGTACCTGGAAGGTAAGCTAATCTACGTCAACATCAAGCCTCCCAGTGGAACAAGCAGAGGATCACTAAAACAGCTGTTGTTTGCAATGTGCTTCTTGCTGATTTTACTGTGGAAACCAGGAATATCAAAAGTTCTATGATAGCCCATGGTTAGCTGTTATATTAGAGATTTGAACAGCCCACTTTCAGGGGGGTAGTTATAGAAACCACAACTCTCTATACTCTGCTCTCCTTTCAGACAGTTCCTGTACTTGAAATGTATTTCTCTCAAAGAGTGCTTTTTCAATGTTCAAAAAAATACCCTGTATTATTATTACTGTGAGATTATATAAAGTGGACTTTAAACTTCTCAATACCAATGCTCTCTCAAGACGGATTCTTCATTGTACTTTAAGGTAATGCAATCAATCTACCTTCTACACAAAGTAAAAAATTAATGTATGAAAAATATGAAGAGGAAGGTCATCAATAATAATTCTATGCTCCAAATGATCTGGGTGAACTCAGCTCTGAATATCTGCAAGTAGGTTCAGCTGCATAGATCCTGACACCTGCAGCACTGATAGTCTGAAGAATCAGCTGTGAAGTTCCAGGAGAAACTAGCAAAACTGAGTTGTTGGTTTTTTTAGTGTTTCCTGTGAAAAAGGTATCGAGTTAAGTGTAAAATTCACAAGGTTTTATGCACTAAAAATTGGCCTGCTGCCTGTGGAAGCTCTTAAACAGGATCACCATTATTCTTAGATATATAACTGATGAGCTGCAAGGGTGTCCATGAAAGGTTGCACGAGATAATCTGTTGAGAAGTAGAAGATCAGGCCAAAGGTGATTGAGATGGGAAGAGCAGGTAGTGCCTTCTTAAAGACTGCAAGCAATAGAAGAGTTAAGCACAGACCCTAAGAGAAAGAAAAGGAACATGATCAGCAGGAATACACTTAGCTGGGATATTTTTCTTACAGATAAATATTAAAAATATGAAAATCCTGTGATGCTTTTGGGGCTTTGCCCAGAAAGATACAAAAAGAAATGAATTAGAAATTATTTCATATGAAGATAGTGACTCGTGTCTTTGCTATTAAGTCTGCTGGATTCCTGCAAATTGACCTACATGGCCAGCTACCCCATGAAGATGATCAAAGTCTACAGCTGGCACAAATTATAGTTGTTGGTTTGCTGATCTGTAGAAATGGGTTTAACAAAACAAAATGGGTTTAATTCCTCCTCCTGTTATAGCAGCTGCACTGGTCACAATTCAAGGTGCTATTTATTAACTACAGGACTTTTGGATTGGGTCCATTTACCCTGAAACTGTTTACTAAATCTCTCCTGGTATGCATTAGCAAGAAGATAGTCTTGGAAAGTTTCCACCTTTCCAGAAGATGAAGAAAACAGGGGGTTGGAGAATGGCCTTCTCAGTTGCAGTGCTCCCCTACTGAATATCTTGTTCCCTGAGACCAGGATGGTCCCTACCATATTAGCTTACCTTTTACTTTTATTTTTCTCAAAATAAAATAAGGGTTTGCCCTGCTGCGTTATTAATGTTGTACCCTACTTAAGTCCCCTAAATATGCTTCAGCTGCCTAGAGGTAAACTTCTATTCTTGCTTCTGTTGGGGCATTTTTAATATCTGGTTGTGCACCAAATATTTTAATAAACATTTAAACCAGTGTTAAATGTGCATTTAAAAAATGGCTGGCTGGAAAATTTGGGAAGTAGAGGTCCATACATCTTAGAGTTGCTAAGGTTTTGGAACATTTATTGAAATAGCAAAAAAGGAAAACAATATTTTGGTTATCATCACCTTTCAGATCTTAATACTAGAAGCTAAACAGAATGTCGTATCACCCTAAAGATTCAAACTGATCATGTTAAAGAACACACTCATTATCATTTGAGTAAGCTCTCCCAATCAAGTGTGATCCCAACTGTACTGGGACTCACTCTTCAGTCCCAAGTGTCTAGGTCCCAATGCTGATAATCCATGCTGCTAACCTTGTTTTATAGTATGTTAAAACAGTGATCCCCAACCTTTCTTATGCCGCGGCCCGGTATCGCCAACCTTTTTTATGGCGCGGCCCGGTACCGGCATTAGCTGGGCGCCGCCATCTTTTTTTGATGAAAAAGTGCTTCCGGTGA